TTTCATTACAAAGCATCCAGAAGTTTGATAATCCATGTTATTTCTACCAATGTACTTTATAACTTCAAATAAAAATGGAAAAATATAACTAGGAGAATGGTATTTGCACTATATATTATTTTAAACATGGTCTTTTGCTGTATTTAGGAGCAGACAGCAGACAGTTGTACATAATTGCCCGTGTTTCTGATCACATACACACACACACATGAAGTGCACAGTATTTTTTGCAAACATTTCTTCTGCTCATGAGTAGAATTTAAGAATCTTAACCAGGCTACTTCTACAAAGGGTTTAGCTATTTAGAAGATAGTAAGAAAATGAAAGTGTGCTTTTGCAAAACCCAAGGAAAGAATATATTAGTGAGAGCAGAATACTGACCAATCTATTTTGATATCAGAACAATCTATTTATGAACAGGGTTATTCATGTAAATACTAAGTAACTGTTCCCACTGTTGACACCAACACTGGAATTTCATTAATCTCAAGAACTTTTATAAATTATTCCACCTCAAATGTGGAAAGGGATAATGCATGGTTAGACTACAAGTGGCAGCTTCTCCTAATTCACTGATTCATCCCATTTGACATCCTGTTTAAATGTTTCCTCTTTCTCATCAAACTTGAATTTTGAAGACACTATGCTCAATAACAGGCCAAAGCAGCCAGCAGACTGACAGTTAGAGGATAAAGGAAAAACTCAGCAGGATTGTCTTTAGCAAACTTTTCTTTCATCTTTTCCCTTTCCTATTCTATATCCTATTTCACTTATGTTGATGGGTTTTCTGGACTCAACACTACACTTTATCAAGAAGTGCCATTTTTTTGGAACACAACCGTGAGTAAAATGCACTTTTATTAGTCAAGTGTATTTTAAAGAGTTGCATCCATTTTTCCCTTCATGAAATGACAAAATACTATTAGAAAACTATTCCAAGGCATGAGCAAGAAAGAAAACATGACCACTTTGTCCTGTGGCATTCTTCATCTGATACAGAGAGGCAGAGCATCCCAGATCTGAGCTTTACTGGAAACACCACTCTGGCTCCTGTGTTACCAGCACTGCAGATCTTAACAATACTTTCATCTTACTGATTAGCTTCAAACACCAATTTCCAGAAGATCTGAAAGCAGGAATCTCTAAGACCAGTCCTCTTAGTCCGGCTTCCATCTCTTGCAAAGCCCATCTCTGAGTGCAGAGAAAAATGTCCAACCTCAGACACACACACGGATGTGGAGCTCTACAGCTTGGCAGACCCCTGCTTCTAACTCTTGCTGATCAAAACTTGTGAATTTGCAAACAATTTTACACACAGTTAAGGCTAGACACACTTTCACATGGACTCAGGGGCATTTTCACCCCTGCCAAAGTTGTCTACAAGCGTTTCTCTATTTCTCCTATAATGTTTGAATCAGGATACAAAAGCCAGAAAATCCTCTGGAAGAAGACTGCATTGTCCTACCCATTAGACAGAAAAGTCCCAAGACATCTGTGATTCCTAGTCTATAAAAACTGTTACTGCTGATAAAATACATCACAGAGGTCTGCAAGAAAAAATTCAATGGATAATATTATTAATTATTAAAAGCAGTAACAGACATTAGCTCAACAAATAATCCTGTACCTGGTAAAAACTTTTTTTTCCTCTCAATACAGGAAAAAATAGCATTATTATTTATATAGTTTAACTTTTTTTATTTTTTCAAAGGTTTGCTTCCAACCACAATTGATAACAGAATAAAAACATTTGTAAGTTTACATAGTCTTGGCATTATGTATTGTCTCTGCATATCTGAAGACCCTCAGGCACATCAGGAACTGGAAGAAAAGCTCTAGATTTTGCCTATCAACTCAAGGAAAGAAAACTCTTTTCACAGTGACATGAATCCAGCAACACTTCCATCCAGTCCAGCAAATCAGAAAAACTACGTTTTTTTTTTTTGTTGTTGTTGTTTAAGACAAATAATCATCATTTGACCAGCAATAAATTTTTAGCTGGACAAGATGCTTTTGGTATCCATTACTCCCTGCCTTCCCTAGCCGACATTTTAAAGTTTTTTTAATTTGTGAAGTAAATTCCCTAAGGGCTATCCTGCACTTTAACAGACAGATTTTATTAATTGAAAACAACAAATCACTTGCAGAAAATAATCATAATGTAGGAAAGGCCTAGGCAGAGCTGTACTCTGAAAACCTCTTTGTAATTGTAGCCTCTTCAGACAGGCATAATCAATTAGAAGTGGTCTGATTTTAACCAGTTGCAGGCTCATTACATTGCATTCCCATTTCTGTTGATGAAAATCAGTTTCAGCCTGTGGCCTGGAACTCATATACAGCACTTCCTGGGGCCTCTTAGATAAACACATCAAGAAACAGTTTTATTTGGATTTGTCCTTCACCCTTTATTCATTGAAACAATTTTACAATTCAAGATTAGAACAGAGAAAAACTGGCTCATAACCAGAGATACACATATACGAGTAAAATATTTAATCTCAGAAAAGTATAAAGCTTCAGTTAATAATCGTTCCTTAAAAACATTTAAATGGGAGACTCAAAACATCCATTTTCAACTGGTGAGTTTAGTCTTTCTCTTACCGTGTCATGGGACACTCAGTTTCTATTTAATATAAACATATTACTCCTTCCTTTCAGAAGAGCTTCTGCCTGTGATACAGAGAACTGTCCCTAACGTATCTTGAAGTTTTCAAAACAGTATTTCCAGCCTAAGCTTTTACTCTCTGTAGATACTGCCCGCAATATGTAATTTTAAAGCTATGTAGGAATTAATCTTTTGAGCAAGACAATACTAAATGAACTATCCTCGAGCAGAAAGAATCTGCAAAAATAATTGCTTCCCTTCTGCAGAAATTGTACCTGACAGCACCCAGGTTTGGTACAGTCGACGTGAGCTTTGAAAAATAAATTAATTCATTACAGTCAGTAAATCCAGCCACAGCATGGTGCAGTCCCTCAGGCTCAAAGGCTATTCACAAGTCAGGGGCATTAAAATAAAAGAGGGGATTTTCCTGGTGTGAAGAGGTCTATAAAAGCCTTTGCAAATGTGCAGCAATTGTTTAAAAACCAAAACAGACAAAAAACCCACCAAAGATAACTGAAATAGGAAAGAGACTGATAAAAGGAAATGCAATGCTCACTAAGTAGGCAAAATGAGAAGCCCTTGTCTGGAATACTGGCTGTTCCTTCGCAAAAGAAAATACAAAAATAGAGCGAAAGGGTGAGTGATAGGAATAATAGAAGAGGAAAAAACTTTCATATGAAGAGAATACAGAAAGACCAGAATGATTCATACTACAGAGGAGAAGAACAGAGTTAGAGGATCTTGATTTTAAAAAGTATCAAAAGGAATATTCAAAAGAGGACCTATCTTTTTTAAAAAGAATTCAAAGTAAAAGGGTAATGAGCTCAAATATGGTTGAAGGAGGCTCTGGGGGTTGGTTTTGCTTATTTTGTACTATGATACACAGCTAGACTTTTTTAATGTACTGCGAAGGATAATCACTAAGGCCAATAGCATATGAGGATTTAAGGAACTTTATTTCACAGAAATAACTAAAAGAAATAAATATCTATTATAATAAATATTTACCCCAAAAATACATTCAAGAGCCAAGAAAAAATTTATTCCTAGAGATATGTTATATTGAAACTGCTTTATATAAGTTGGTACATTGCTCCCTATAAACCACGTGGCCCTTACCTAGTCACAAACAGTGGTCAATACCCAACAGTACAACACTATCTGGAAATTTCCTTTACTGAACAGCATATCTTGACACCTGAGATACATGAAAGAGGAATGACTCTTCAGAGGACATGAAAGATCAGACTCATCTCCTGGAGTGCCCAATAACCCCAACCGTCATCCCCTGGTCTACTGGAAGTCACCTGACACCTACTCTTATGTCTGTACTTCTGTTATAAGGGCTGGATTCTCCATCATCCTGTCTGAAGAAGTTAATTTCAGACACATTCATCATCAACCTGCTTTCCTAACAACTATCACTATTTGATCTGTACATTCAAAAGAAATCACATCAACAGTGATTACACGACTAGAATGGAACTACTTCTACCAAAAGTCTAGGCAAAAAAAGCAAAACGAATTGGTTTTAAAATTAAGAGCAGTGCCCATAACATGACTATCTGAAATAAAGAACGGTTCCAAAGACTGAAATGCAGTGTTAAAATCAGACATTAAGAATTTTAATGAAATGACAAAACAATTCTTTAATTGCCTTCCTAGACAAGGTAATTTATTACTCACTTGTTCATAAGAAATGAACAAAACAGGCCCATAAGGAAGCTAGTTACAGCTGACTGAAAATGGCCTACACACTGCCACACTTAAAAGAGTATCCCTTCCTTCGTACCTTTGTTTTTCTTATTGTTTACAGCCTGTTTTGTATTGTTGCAAACTGTACTCTGCAACACTATAACCACTGATATTTCTGACTGGTACTTCAAAAAATTCGCAGTGATAAAGAATCAGGATAAAAAAAGAAACTGAAAGAAATTCACAGTTTCTTATAAAACTTCTAAACATGAAAAAAACACTTTCTCTGAAATACTTTCAAGTGTCTCATGAAGAAACATCTCTGTTGTTTTCTGGAAAGGTTAAAGTAGCAATATTCCAGGGTCTGTATTTTGTTTGTATTTACAACCTTGGATCAAAAAAACATTTTGGAACATGGAGAGGATCTTTTTTGTTGTTAGCCGTTCTAGGACTAGGAATACTGCAAGATATCTCTTCAAGCTTTGACACGGAGCCATACCTCACTCTTCTCATCAACAAAACCTAGGACCAGCTCTTCAGAGGGCAGAATAGAGGGCACTTTTACACAAAGCAGCTAAAGGACTCTAGCACTGAGTGTATACCCTGAGTACAAGTAACATACTATTGTTTCTCCAGATTCAACAGAGCTCAGAAATGGATACAGATATACCATCCAATTTATAAAACCACATTGACTTACCTTGCTGTTTAGACTTCCCCAGGTGAGTACTCAGCATCACAAGGACATCAAGATAGGCAGCTCTGGTCACCAGACAAGGATTTAGCCTAAAAAAAAAAAAAAAAAAAAAAAATCAAATTTCTAAAGATCAAATCCTTATTATGCTCTGAAACAGCAGTGAAACACACCAGCTTCGTGTGTCTATTTTAACTAATGAAGATCAACTACTGCATACATAAAATAATTAGGCCAAGTTATCTAAGCTTCACTTCCTGATCCATTCAAAATTAAAGTCTTCCTTGCAAAACTGGGTGCTGCCAGTTTGCAACACCCTTCCTCCATCCATCCCACCAAATCACAGCTTATACATTTCATTATTATTGGATGAATCAGCTTGCCCTGGCAATTAGTGTGTCTTTGTTTTGTTTATAGATAATGTGTGTTACTGAATGCATTAAAGAAAAGAAGTCTTCAGGTCTTACTGTTACAGCTCATAAAAGAGAAAATGGCCATAGCACTCTCACTATTCTGATGAAGACCAGAGGCATGCATGTTTTTAAAATTAGGTATTTCTTTTCCCAGACAAGAATATTTGGGATTTTGTGTGTAATGTAATTGGTAATTAGCTACTTTCTTTTCTACCTCTTCAATTTGCAAGTATCAGGCATCTATTTTCTCTTCAATTAGAAAATTAAAATTAGGTTAACAACTTCATTTTTCTTTGCATTGCTATCACTCTATGTTTCAGCCATGAACTTTTTTTAAAAAATATAACTTAGAATGTGAACAAACAGGAAATGTAGTTCAAAACACAAAAATTATTTTAATAAGCCCAATGGGACTTGTACTAAAACAAAACCTTTTAGAATCAAGCAGCACAAGCTTAAAGTATGACTAATTCTGTTCAGTATTTCATTTTTGTTTTATCTGGCACTTTCTTTGAACGCTTATCTTGGTGTCTGAAACTCGTTCAAAAAATTGTTAATTAAAAATGTTCCAACAAACATTCTCAACCCTAGCATCTCTAAAATCCAAGGAAAAAAGCTTTTTCAAATAAAATACGTGATCGTGACATAAAAATGCAAGCTCTGAGGTTCTTAAGCAGTTTTGCAGCTGTATTTGCCAATGGAGATCTAGCCTATGAACCTGTTAAAAAAGAGAACTTTAACCAGAAACATTGCTCTCACCTTCAGCAATAAACTCTGCAATAAGCTCAAAATACTTATGTTTTCTTTTATGGCCTGCAATATTAGGCATCCAGGTAACACACAGCAGACTACATGCTAACAGGATCTCTCTTTTAAAGAGGGTTTTTTTTCTCCTTTTCTTAGGAGGGAAGTAGTTTAGGTTCTTAGCTCCAAAAACGTCTCCATGCTTGTCACCTACCACCTGCCTTAGCACAAGAGCTAAAAGCCTGCCCGCTGAGAAGATGCACATCAGTAAGAACTGGTGCCATAAGAACCCAAAGCAATTTTAATATGAACTATTTCAGAAGAATTGCATTAGGCAGACTTAATTTCCATCCACCTTGGCTAAAAAAACATCTCTTCTGTATCTTGTGCATCCAGTTGTTGCCTAAGTTGTTCTTCACAACTAAATCTGTGTGAAAACACCACCAAGAAATACAGAGTGAGGAGCTCAAGCCACGAGAAAACAGAGTGACCGATCAGTCAAAACCTTAGAAGAAAAAAAACCCCACAAGAGGTCTCTCACAAATACTCAAAAAATGGATTAAAGCAGCCATGACAGATTTCAGTTAAGATGAGGAACATAATGCCTACTGCACTTCAGCTCCCCTGAAAAATGGAGGACTCGATTGTTATTCTGTCTTTCCAGTGGAAAGAAAATTTCCAACGTACAAACTGTGCCTTGGGAAAAACATGGCTGATGCAACCCTTACTAAAGAAGAGTTAACAGCAACACTGATGAGGTTTTTTAGTCTGGTCCAGCTTTTAAGCACTTACCACTTCATTCTGAGTATGTGCATACACACACTTTTGATTTTGAAATGAGACTTTGCTATCAGAAAACATGCCAAACGTTTGTTCCTGGCTGGTTCTGTTGCTCTGGTGATGCTAGTGAATGCTCATCCAAATGTGCCAGACGGACACAACAGGAAATTCAGTTTTCCAAAACCAAGAAATTTCAGTGTTGTTCAGACTGTAGTAGAAAGCTCAGTCTTGAAGACAATCAAACTGTGATTTACATAACAGACCTGACAGCCAAAAATCACATGCTGAACATTTCAAATGATGGAGTGCGCAGTATTTAGGATGACCTGTTCATGCAGAACTTCAACGACGGGAGTGGGAAGAGTACAAAATGTTTCTTTTTTAACACAGATACCCAAATAAAGTGGTGTTCTCATAAACAAGGTCTGAGGAAATCTGTCTCTGGACAAGAAAGTCACAGCAGTAGCAAAGGTGTGAGCTCCAGACATCTGGAACAGCGTTCCTTTTTTTTTTTGGTCCAAAACTCAAAAATTATTTCATCTCCTTTCCAACAAGGATATTAATGGAAACAAATACATCATATGCTCACTCCAGATGATAAACTGTATGTGATTCTGAAGGGGGGCAGAGCTAGAGATGTTTAGAATTCTCATATCTAAGGGTATATCCACACAGAAATGAAAAATGGGTATCAAAACAATATTTATACTATTACACATATATACTAACAGGAGGCTAGAGATGTCAGGGCAGAGATTCATACCTGACTAAAGCAATGCTTTGTCTATGTTAGCCAACACGTTGGTGTAACAACAGCACATCTGGAATTCAAAGAGCCGGCACCAGAGATCCAATGGCCACCCCACATCCTGTGCCAGACCTGTTAAACCATAATCTTCAGAAGTTCAACTTGTTGCTTTTTGCTTCTGTTTGGATACAGAGTTTATAGCCAGCCTACTCCAGGAATCTCACTGCACTAAGCAGCTTACCCCTCAGTTTCTAGCACTCCTTCATGATGCTTTAACTTTGAGCTTGACTGTCCAGGTGGAAATGAAAATCAGGTCACAGGCAACTCCTAAGTTAAATTTCACTGACAGCCAATACTGCAGAATATTTCAACACATCTGACTGAAGAGAGGTCAAAGGCTGTTTGCCCCAAGTAACATGTAAAAGACAAGCACTGTCACAGACTTGACGGCAGAGGGGAAGTAGACTCCTGCAACAGGCAGGGACAGAAAGGATTACTACTTAGCAAGAACAAGGCAAAGAAGAAATATGTTTCTAATTTAATCAAGGAGAATGAAAATATGACAGCAGGAGCTGCTGTGTCCCTACTAGATCATCCAATGCAAAAAAAAAAAGGCTGAGAATGGGGATTTTTCAGCCTGGAAAAGAGAAGACTTCAGGGCGACCTAACTACAGCCTTCCAGTACCCCTGGTACAAGGTAATCTACAAGAAAGATGGAGAGTTTTCAGAAGAGCACAAGACAGGGGGCAATGGCTTCAAACTGAGAGCAGGTTTAGATTAGATATTCAGAAGAAATTCTTTACTGTGAGGATGGTGAGGCACTGGAACAGGCTGATTAGAGAAGTTGTGGATACCCCACCTCTGGAAGTGTTCAAGGCCAGGTTAGGTGGGGCTTTGAGCACCCTGGTCTAATGGAATGTGTCCCTGTTCATGGCAGGGGAGTTGGGACTAGGTGATCTTTAAGGTCTCTTCCAATTCAGGCAATTCTACGATCACAAAACTCCACAGAACACACAAGGTGACTGAAACACAAGTCAAAAAAGTTAAAGAGCCTGAAGGTTTCAAATGGTTTACACATATTTTTTTGTAACTGCCCAATGCTCCATCCCAACACTGTCCTCAGTAGGGAGGAAATAAGGGCTTTTTTAGATTTTATTATTTTAGGTAGGCATGGCTGAACAGTAGAAAAATCTGAAAACACAGGTGCCAGTTTCCATATTACTGAAACTTCATAGCAGATTTCTGGATTAGATCCTAAAATAAAAGTATTCCAAACCTGGCCAGTTTCTTATCATTAATGCTGAACAAGTCATTGGAGATAGGATAGTCAGACCTCTTTGTAATTGCATTTTCAATTCTGGTATGCTAATATAAAATTAGAGAAGAGTTCAAGTCACTTGCAGGAAGAAACCCTGTGTTACACATTAAGAATCTAGGGATTCCTTTCAAAGAAAATGGTTAATGGAACTAAACAGTCTGTTAAAATCCACAGGCTCCTGTTCAAATGCCTTTGAAGAGGCACTTACAAAATATAATATGACCAGAGTAACAATAAGCTATTTGTTTTCAACGAGGAACTGCCTGGTAGGTGAACCAGGAAGCGTACCCTGCAGGAGATATTCCCTCTCTGGAGATGTAAATCAGACTGGGCAGGTTCAGAAGCTCCATGTGCCATACTGGGGTTTGCTCCAGCTGGCTTTGGCTACCTGGACCGCTTTGATTTCTGCTCTGCCTTTACCTCCTTTAAGTAACACTGACTGCAGCTTAGGTCCATGTACCATGAAATCAATCCTAGCCTCTCACAGTTTGGAGCTCTACAAATATTATTTTTTCAATGTTTGATTCACCTATTATAGTTAAGTCATGCTGAATTTGAGGTAATCACTGGTTTGCTTATTTTGGATGGCAGATCTGATGCAAACCAAAATGCCATTTATTGAAGGAATCAGCAATATGTGGTCACAGACCTCCCATGTACTTGGCTCACACAAACTGTTTCAACTCTACCAAGAACACATGGCTTAACTTCTAAAATTAAGTTCCTTCTGTATTACTGTTTAATTTAAAGAAGATCCACATGAATGAATTATGAAGCAAATTACCTTCTTTTCCAAGGGAAAGGTGTAAAGGAGGAAAGAACATGGAAAGCTCACACATTTGGTCTCAATTCTGTCAGAACACTGAGAAAAAGATTTAAACAAACTAAATAGACAATCTCTTGCTCCTCTAACCATGAAGGTTTGCAGAGGCCCTTAAACAGCATTTCTGCTTATTACAGGGCATCATTTATAACCACGTGGATTTCTGTATAAAAATGAGGATGCCAACACACCTTTATGTGTAGCAAATACCAAAGAATTTTGATGCACAACATTTGCAGATTCTCATTATATTCTAGAAACCTTGT